GATGCCCCTAAGACGTGACCAGCCAGAAGTTTAAACCCAACGAGTTTGTCGTTGTTAAACACTCTTCTGATAGCTTGCCTCGTTTAGCAGCTTCTGGTCGTCTTTCCTTAAACTAAGGGACCATGAGGTACAACATAACAATAAAGAAATAAAATACGATGAAAATTTCTGTTCCTTGGGAAACTCGTACTCGTGTAAGGACACAAGATGAGCGGAAAAAATATAAATAAACTAATACACTTGCAAACAGCGTAAAAGCGATCGGAAAAAACGTTTTTTTGGTTTTTTATATAAAAAAATATAAATACGCTCAAAAAATGCTTTGTTTTGTTTTTTTTTTCCAAATAAATATATACTAAAAAAATTATTTTTTATAATAAATAATGAAAAGGGAATTCGAGAATAATTTTGTGTCCTACGTGCAATATTCGTTTAGATGTTCTGGAAATCTTACTCCCTTTCCAGAACGCGTTGTTTTAGGTTTACCTATCGACGTTGACGAACTATCAAGTTGTGTGTCGGCTGTCGTGTGGGGTACTACAAGTGTAGGAGCCGTATCGTTCGATTGTACCGAAGGAAATTCGACGTAGCTAAGGTTTCCTTCTAAGCACGCTGCTTTTAAGTGATCGATACTGGTGCTATCGTTCGTGCCGTTCTTATCGACTACATAGTACTTGGGTTCAAGTTGAAGAACTTTGAAGGGTCCTTCGTATGCTGATTCGAGGGGTCGTCGATGCGAGTCTCGACGAACGAAGACGTGTGTACTATGTCGTAATTCAGGTTGAACGGAAACATCAGTTGATTGAGGTCGAGTGTGAGCAGGTTTAACTGAATGCATAGCGTTTGTAAGCCTTTTCGTGCAAGAGTTTAGATCCATGTTCAATGAAGAAGACGAAGGATCCACGAATTCTCCTGGGAGTCGGAGTGTCGTTCCATAAACGAGCTGAGATGCAGTGTATCCAATGTCAGCTTTCACTGCATTGCGGATACCTAGTAAGACGAGTGGAAGAGCGTCTGTCCACTGTGAAATGTTTGTAGCTCTATAATGAAGTTTTAAGTTGTCTATGAAAACGTTCTACCAACCCGTATGCTTGTGGGTGGTATGCTGTCATTCGGAAGCGAGTGATTCCTAATAGTCAGGTCAGACAACGGAAAAGTCCAGATTCGAACTGGTGTCCGCGGTCTGTAGTGATTGTGGAAGGGCAACCGAAATTTGCTACCCATCGTTCGACGAAAGCGCGAGCCACGGTTTCAGCAGTAATGTCCTTAATCGGTACTGTTTCTGGCCATCGAGTAAAACGGTCTACGCATGTTGGGAGATATGAGTATCCGTTTGAGTCGGGTAAGGGTCCTACCAAATCTAGATGGACGTGGTCGAAACGAGCGTCAGGGATTTTGAAAGAGCATTTGCTGTGCCTTATGACCTTAGATTTCTGACAGCTTACACAGAAGCGTGCCCACTCCCTCACGTCTTTATTCATGCCAGGCCAACAAAATCGTTCGGCTATAAGTTTGACAGTTGTACGAGCACCTGGATGAGAAAGGTTGTGCAACGTATTAAAGACGTTGCGTCGATAATGTTTTGGTACTATTGGACGATCCCTACCTGTAAATGTGTCACAGAGTAAGGTTTCCTTACCTGTTCCCATCTGCTTAATACTTAGTTTTAGAGTTGTCGAGGATAAATCATGCTGAAGATCAATGTCTTCTTCTTGAAGCTCAGCGAGTTTAAGAAGGTCGATTCCTTGGAAACTGTTCAAGGAACTTATTCGAGACAAGGCGTCTGCGACTACATTGCTAGCTCCAAAAATGTGTTGTATGTCTGAAGTTAACTGCAAAATGTATTCGAGTTGTCGAGACTCTCGCGGCGAGTACTTGTCTGAAGATGAACTTAAAGAGAAGGTAAGAGGTTTGTGATCGCTAAAAAGTGTGAATTCTCTTCCTTCGATGGAATGTTGGGAATGCCGTACAGCACAATGCATAGTTAGGAGTTCCCTAACGAACGTGCTGTACCTAGATTCCGCGTCTAGCAACCGTCTCGAGAAAAATCCTAAAGGTTGCCACGAGTTGTTAACCCATTGTTGTAAGACTGCTCCGATTGCTGAGTCGGATGCGTCTACTGCTATACTAATGGGCGCTTGAGTGTCCTGATGCGCCAGCAGGGTTGCCTGAGCGATATGTTCCTAAACAGTGGAGAATGCTTTACGGGCTGTCGTCTAAACTAATTGATTTCGCATTTCCACGAAGCTGGTCGGTTAACAGTTTCATAAGAGATGCGCATTTAGGTATGAACTTATAAAGCCGTTGAAAGTTTGCAAATGCTTGATCGTGGTTGGTTCTGGGTAACGATCGGCTCTGCTTTTGCCGCCTGTAAACTGAAAACAGACTCGCGAAGTCTGTCGTCGGGATTTGCTGGAAGAACGCTAACTTCTGCGCCGGTGTCGACGAGGTAGCGAACTTTCGTAGTCACATCCGTGACGTATAACAGACGGCTGTGTTCGCCGGCTACGGTTGCCGTTAACGCGTGCCGACTGGGAAGTTTCCTGAATTCTTATTCGTGTCAGTCGCCTTAGACTTCGGATAATTGCAGGGCTTCCTGAAGTTTCTAGAGGATTTACCGTACTGGTTGTGATACCAGGACCAGTCGGGGTTGTCTGTCTCTCGACCACAAGTGACAGATCGCTTACGTGAAACGCTCCTACGTGGGGATTTTGACCGACTACGGTCATTACGAAATCGAAGATAGAGTGCCAGTGTATGACATACTTCGGTAATGTCATTCGGGGTCCTTTGAGGTTTTTCTTTGACTGAAAAGACCTCGGCCTTAGTAGATTTTGTGATTTCTAAGATTCGGTCGGCAGATGCAGCCAGCTCGTCTACGGCGTTGTTTTGAAATGAGGCGAGAACTGCTTGCACCTGTTGAGGAAGTTTAGACAAGAAAAGTTGTCTGAATAGGCCATCATCGAAAGTTCGTTGGCCGATAACCTCTCTCATTCTTAGCAACATGTCTGTCGCAGAACCATGTTGCAGGACGATGTTATGGAGGAGTTGGTCTAACCGTTGTCGGTCGGTTGGGTCTCCACGTTTTATGATCGATCGTTTTAACGTTTCATAAGGTTCAGGAACATCACTAGTACCTGTTAAATTCGCGCAGTAAAGCCTTAATTACCGTGAGGAATCGTGATTCCGTGCTTGCAAAAATAATAATAATGATAATTTATTCTCATATAGCAAATAACAAATTAACAACTAATCAGCTTCTGTGTAGCAGAACCAGGACTCAATATTGTCAGGCCAAAATGGCGTTAACTGAATCGAAGTCAGGGGAATAGATTTTAACTTAAAAAAACTTAGGTGACTGTTCCGTCATAGTAATATAGAGAACGTAAAATATTTAATTAGAATATATCCGGAAAAACTCGCGAAGAAAAAGTATATCACAATATATAAAAATCAAATAAAGATTAACAATGAATAATAATATTCCAAAAAGGAACGGACTCACAGTTTACTGGCTTGGTGTACCAGATCACGTAAGGCTCACCACTGAGGATACGACCGGTATTCTAGTTTGACAACTAGCGACCAGTAGTACCTTCTATATTAGAAACCTTCTTACGCCCGATGGAAATCAGAAGTCAGATAAGAAGAGGTAGGAAAGTTATATTTGATACGTTACCAATATATCGAGAGGCGTTTGTTCTTAGCTATCTAGTGAAACGTAGGAGCTGTGTCCCACGCCGAGTCGAAACGTGATCTGGTGCGGATGCATGACCGAAAGCCTTCAGTTAAACAAGTCCACTTAAACAACGTGGTCAGCATCCAATGTCGAACACTTAGAAAGCTATTGATTCTGGGGAATTATTTACAGCTACAGACGAAACGTGCCACAGAACAAGCATTTACAAAGCTTGTGATTATCTTCGTGAACTATTTCACAAATCTATGGATTGTTAACTGAATAACCTTTATTACGTATTAGACTGCGACGACGTAGTAAAGTAGTGAAATTTCTTATGTCCTGGGGAATCATTTCGTTGAATTTTTCTCTTTCAACACATTCAAAATGTGCATACTTTACATGGTCAAGCAGTATTTGCTTGAGAGTTGCATAAAGGAGTGTAATCGGTCTGTCTGGAAATGCCAAAGTCTCTATAAAGTTGTATTCTTCTTTTCCGATGAAAATAAGGCAATGAGCCACAATATTAAAATTCTTCACATCTTTCTCGGTCATAGCCCAGATTTCGAACCTTCCCCTGTAATCCTCATAAGCATCTAAATCTGAATGTATGTCCAATAGTTTCATCACAGGTTCCCTCGCGACGTCAATGTGATAATTAGGAGTATTTGAATTATGGTATAACCTAAGAATCCCAGAAATAACGAAATTTATTCAAGAAGTATTAGATAGACAAAAATGAATGTATTGTATTAGGAGTTAGAAATCCAATAGTTAACAAGTACAAAGGAATCATTGGTTCTGTTATCATTAGATGTAGTATCTGTGTAGTATTTGTCCATTGCAGTGTAATTTCTGCAACGGTCTCTAAACTGAGACCAATAAAATTACCTGTATTTTTCACCTCCGGATGGGTGCTGTGAGCTTGCTCAACTACGTCCACGGGTCGGCCTCGTATTTCATTGCCTCGAGAATCATTGGTTCATATGAACACCACAGTTAGGTCAGTCGATCCACGATATATTGATAACTTATCAAATATATCTTCAAACTTCCCCGCTTCCGTCTTTCGATTTCACTTGGTGGGTACGCTGTAAAACTCAAAATACTTGTGGCATCTTAAATATCAACCATAACGCCTATATTCACTCGACTCCAAAAAATGGAATACGAGCTAATATTAAATAATACGCTTGTTATTTAGAGTTTCAAAAATGCTATATTTTGATGTCATACAGCTTTTCTTGTGATTTCTTGATTTGTTATACTTTGTCAAATTTAATACTAAAACTGAAGGTCGTCTCTCTATGTACAAAATCAAATGATGACTCAGTTTCTAACTGTAATTAGTTTATATATACATTACATTATCTCTCAGTTATTCAAGGAAAAGGTAATGAATGAGACCTGGTTTGAAAACAACAAACTGAATACACTGACAGAGAGAAATACCCAGCTATTAAGTAGGTAAGTTCTAAGATGACAATAATATAATCATAGATATTTCTATTACTAATTAACACTTTATAGTATGTTCTAAAAAATGTTTTGACAAAACTCAGCTAAAGGATCTATTATTGACACGATGTTATTTTTGCGACCGTTTATTTTTCATGGAAACATTTTTTAATTAATGGTTGTTTAGGAATTGTTGACTCAACAGTTTTTTAAGCCCAACCATGGATCAAAAATTTTGCCGTTCGTAATCTGACTGGATGCGTGTAGCTTGTGTGATTAGTGAACCGAAAATAACTTCATAGCCGGACTGTTCAAACTTTTCAGACATCAAATAAGCCCGTTGTATGTTTGAGTCTCATTGATTTGAAAGTTATTTGGATATGAAACCGTTAGCTTACATGAATTTCTCTCCGAATTTGTCGGTTTTTGATAAAAAATACTCAAAGCTTTAAATTGGTTATCATTGTTTAAATTTATTAAAAATACTCCAAAAGTCTTTTAAAACCTAATCGATAATAGCTAAGCTTTCACAATTTTCACTTGTTCATTAAAAACGGAATAGTTTTTACTCATTCCTTCGGTCCTATAACAATCCCAATCGTTATGCATTCTACACTATTTCTTTAAGTTTTTCGTACTCATCCTGAAAATTACAACAATTTTCTGTGGGGACTGGCCCCATATTAAGTCTATATGGGTAATTCTGGCCTCTGGACAGATCAATCTATCCATTCTTCTTAAATCACATTTTGACTTTGTCAGTTATTTGCTTGTCAACCTTGACTGTTTTTATGTGAGTGCATGTGTGTGCATTTCTTGTAGGACTCATCACGTGTCGGACTATAAATATCGATTCACGCTTAATTGAGTTGACTCACTCTCCTTCTCCATTGCGCGTCATTTTATTTTGCTTCACTTCACGATCAACAATCGTACGGGATAAACGCATTCGAAACTTCATTCTCGTGTTTGTCTTATTTAATTCCGTCATTCACCAACGCCATTTATATCTACGGTTGTGTATGAAGATTGGCGACATGTATATTTCAATAACAAGTAGCAAATGATTTAACTGACGTCAGATAACTAGTGGCTAAAGACCAACTAGGTCATCTTTGGTCTGCACTTTTTTAAACTCTTAATCGAATGAATAACTTCAGTATGAAATAGTATGAGTTTTTATGCCACTCATGTGGTTAAATAAACGATCATTCATTAGTCAACCGAGATTTAGTAAAATGTTAGACAAACAGTGAGAAGCTCGATTGAAATAATCCTTTTTGATCAAATTCTGTTCAATAAATCGATTGATTTAGGTTGAAAAATGTAGGCTTGAATGTTGTATAGCTAATTACTTATCAGTTTGACTAAGCTAAGCACTATATCATGAGATCTTGCTTTAGTGAAGTGTGGGACATATAGTTAAGAGAAATATTTCGGTTTGCCCAGTCTAACACATATTTTGAAAATCTTATGAAGGTCTTAATTTCTCACTGCAAATCTAAAAAAGTCTTGTGAGTTCTGATGCACATGACTCTTTGACTATTGAGAGGCCCTTTTTCACATTTATGAGCCAAACAGTTTAGTATTTAAGTTCATTTTAAGTTTATGTCATTAGATATTTATTCTACATTACAAAATGAAACTTTTAGATATGTAGCCAATGTCAAGCTTTTAGAAGGTTTGTGGCGACCTATTCACGGTATGTGTTCATTTCAGAATAAAAATAATCGAGTTACTATGAGGATTTAACACCCAGAAGCTATCGATTTCCATTTTCAGCCTTTAAGTTAAAGAAAAACTCTGAAATTTAAATCTGATATAGTCTCAAAATCTTTAACCAATGTTCTTTCTATTGTACACAAATACCTTGCTGTTACCTAGCCTTTGGCTACTCATTTTTAAGATAATCTTAACCGATTTTCAACAGTCGCCTTCTAAAGTTGTCTATGTTTTGTACTATATCTCACATATGTACACAATAAGCGATACCGTCTGCAGGAATTGTAAAAATATTTGAGTGTTTATTATTCCAAAGTTATGTTTTTTATTTAATATTTCGCTTTAGATGAATTACCCGGCAATCTAATGAATTACATTTTTTGCATTTTAAACACAGAATATCAAGACTTCAAGAGTCTTTAAATTCATTAAGGAATATTAAGGCAGTTGAAAGAACTCAGTATGAATTGAACAGCAAAGTCAATGGAAGTATCTTGAAAGACAAGGTCAGTACAGTTATGAGCTCTTTCATAATTCTGGTTGTATTTAGTTGAACCAGTTGATTTCTGTATTTGACTAGCCACTATAAATTTTATAGATTGGAGACAGAATAATGCTGTACTTTTGAAGACTTTAATCGCTTGAAAAACTTTATGGACCAGCTGCAATTTTAAGATGTTGGTCATTAGATTCAGTTCAGGTGGCGAAGTACTTATGGACTCATCACATAATGTTAAAGTTTGACTATCTATTCTTAATTGATAGTAACTAAAAATCTAAAAGATGAAAGTAGCGATTAGTGAAAATACGTTTTTAAACGAATCCAATCTTCCATTAAAGCTTCATTTAAATTGAAATGAGAGTTTCTTAACTGAAGTATAGATGAACTAGCATGAAAGTTGCGCAGATGTGTGACACTGTATATGTCTAATAATAAATCTTGTTTTTTAAGATTTTAAGTGAAAAAGGATGCTTTTCTTCTGCACAGGTGGATTTTTACCTGTAAGATTCGTTAGAACTTAAGAGAAATGCAGATTTTTTGGATTTAATCCGAATTTCAGTCTTCGTTTTCGAATATTTCTAGCAAAAGACTAAAAATATAAATTTAGAACTCCAAGTCAACTACTTTCATTTTGGCAGTATATTTTCTTCATCCATGATCTTTACTTTGTGAAATTAACACAACGTCATTAAAAATGTTTGATAATTGAAATCAATTTATTGATGTAAATCATGTTATGATACCATTATATTTCTGTAGAAAACGATATCATTAATGAAAAAAAATAGTTTCGGATGACTTTTTCTTGGTTAGCAAATATAACTCCTTTTTAAAGTAATTGAAATTTTTATAGTTAGATTATTGACCTGAATCTAGGCTGTGTTCAAAGTTTGGTTGAGAAAATCTTAAAGGCGAAATAAATGCTTCACGTAGAGTTAATAAAATGTTCATATGTCTCTTTGCTTGTTATCGTCACAATAAACAATTAATAATTTCTGTATAAATAAAATTTATTGTTTCATGTTTATCTAATAAAATTCTATCCAGGAAAAAAATAAAATATTTCATGTTGATATAATAAATATGTACCTGTTTGTAGCATGAGAATCTGGCTTTTTAATGAAAATCATTACCCTATATCAGCGTTGTTTCAGAAATCTTTACGTGCTTTAATTATCTTACTAAGGTTGACTTAAAAGCTATTATTTCATTGATTGGTTTTAAAGTGAACAAATATGAAAATTCCAGCCACTGCATTTGACAAATACCATTTTTACGATAATTAAAAGTGTTTGACTTCAATTGCAAAGTATTCAATAAGGAAAAAAATTTATCAGGTCTAAAATTTTATCGACGAGTATGTAGAAAGTAACCTAAGATGATATCGACTAATAGTGGAAGGTATCTTTTGACGAAACATCATAATCCATTTCAAAATATATCTAATTAACGAATGTTAGTTATTTTCATGGAATAGATAGAATGTGGCTAGCAGTGGACTTCAGGAAGCATGTTTAGCCCTATTCATCCTTCGTCAGATGGATATGTTAACATTATATAGTTGATGCTCAAACTGGAACTGAACACAGTATCTTTCATTTTAATTGATCTAAAAGTTTTTCACTATGCTACTGAATCTTGTTGGCTACTAGCCTGCTAAATGGGTATGAACTGCAATGATTTTAGTTATCTTTTTGTTTACATCCCTGACTGGATTTTGGTCAGTCAACCGGAGTATGTGCATTGCTTCTGTATAACCATTATTTCATAAATTTTTACAGAATAAATGGAATGTAGGCAAAAATGGGTAAAACACGCATCCTGGATTCTAATTCTGGCAATATAAATAAAGTCCTATGAAAACTTGTGTCATTATGGTGATACTGTGGAAATTCGCCAAATGTTATTAAATACGTCCACTAAGAGTAATCAAAATTCAGTCAAGAGTACCAACAACGAAATGGTGCAAATCATTACAAGTTAAGCTAAATATTGACTGTAATATAGTGAGTCAAAGATTCCGAAATTTAATCGCCATATTTGAAATACTTATGAATATCTTGATTAGAATCGATCAGAATGTTAGTTGGTTAGTGAGTTTTGAAAACCAATGAAGAGCCTGGCACAAAAACAAAACTAGTAATCCCTAATTTTCAAAAAAAACAGTCCGTTAGCATAAAATTATGAAACCAACAGCGTTCGAACATTCCATTAATCATTAGACCTCTAACACTAGAACCTAATAACATTCTACAACTAAATAAAGTTTAGTTGAGCCGTGATTGTCGTACCTTCACAAACTCATAAACAACTAATAAAAAATTTACTAACACAGACGGTCATTTTGGAAACCTTGGATTATAAAAAATAGGTTAAGGTACAAAAGAGATTAAAAACGCTGCTCAGTAAAAGTAGATAAATACTTGCAAAAAATAATCTAAGTCATTTGATCAGGCATCTCATGTGTTGATACACATTTTTTGCATAATACTCCCTTAATTGGTTTATTTGATGAACATATGTTCTTCAAATTATCCAAAGATGAACATATTTTACAAAAAATTCATCGGCATTTTTAATCAAGGAAAAGATATTTATTGAAGATTAAATCTTTCTGAGTTTTCATTTCGTTTCTACGTCCATGTGCACTTCTTTTATTATATGACAAAATTTTAAACTCCATCAACAATGTGTGCAAAAATAAATCATTTATGAAATTAAAAAAAATGACTATCGATATTGATTATTTTCGATGTATACAAAATCGAAAACGAACATTGTTTAGTATCATACCTGAAACGATTGCTATAGTAACCGTAACACTAGTGATCAAATCAGATAATTTACATAAAACGAATAGAATTCTATGAAAAAAAGATGGTGAACAAGTAACAGTCATATAAAAACGTCATATTATTATTTAAGGTCATTAATGTACAACGTGGAATTGCGAATCGAAATTTTAAAAATTTCGAATAATGAAACTTTTATTTAAAAGTTTCTTACACTAATAGAGGGTGAAATTTGTCACGCCTTTTAAAAAAAATCTATTTTATGGTAAACTAGAAGCAGCTCATATAAGAACTTTCGTCTAAATTAGAGCGAATAGTTTCAAAGTGTTTGAGCGCCGAGTTGATGTAAGACATTAATTATGAATAATATATTTGTAAAATCTCAGCAAATGAATTTATACAATTCCTTGAAAAAGCTTGGACCAGATTGCCAGGCGAAACGTTGGATTTACTACAATTTCATTCGCTGAGATTTTACAAATATATTATTCCTAATTAATGTCTTAGAAGCAGCTCAGTTTAAAATAAACGAGCATGCTCATGATCATGTAGAAAAATACGACAAAATAAGGTTGGTTGATGACAAAGTTACAAAAAAGTAGTTTTCGATTTTAAAATTCAAAATGTCTAAATTCTATCCCATTTAGTTACTTTGATTTCTCGACATACACAACTAGCTTATACCGCAGAAAAAATTGTATTTCTGAACTTTTGTGACATTATAAGTCACTACGTTAGAAATACAACTTTTCTACTCATTGAAATATAACAAAAACATATTATTAACTTCATAGTTGAAAGCGTAAGTCAATTGAATCTAGACCATCAGAGAAAACCTGGAAGCACTGGACGGTCGTTTCGTCCTGCTGTGGGACTCCTCAGCAGTGCGCAACCACGATCCCGCCTCACGAGATTCGAACCCAGAACCTACCAGTCTCGCGCCAGAGCACTTAACCGATAGACCACTGAGCCGATGGTGTTTCTGTCTAACTCCAAAAAATCCACGAAGTTGAGCAACCGTTCACCAATTGTCCCCTGGTAGGTCCTGGGTTCGAATCTCGCGAGGCGAGGTCGTGGATGCGCACTGCTGAGGAGTCTTACAACAGGACGAAACGACCGTCTAGTGCTTCCAGGTTTTGCCTAGTGGTCTAGCTCCAAGTGACTCACACTTTCAACTATTAAAATACTAAATCTCCACAAAACCCCTTCTGATAATATTATTAACTCTCTTCTCAATTCTCAATTTATTTAAAATTATCATGCTTAACCTTGGTATTGAGGCCTAGAAACCAATTTTATTTATTTGTGACATTCTTTGATACAAATCTATTTAAGTATGTATTTTAGTAGGAAAACAAAATAAAATTTTCGAGCCATACTAATTTTAAAGAAGTAGGCTAGAATTTCATTATTACAAAGGAATTTCTAACATTTCTTTTTATTCACAATAAAAGATCTTCCTGACAATTATTGCATTTACTTTATTTCGTCGAACGTGGTTCATTTGAGAAAGAATCATTTATTGGTTGTATGTTGACCTTGAGTTCAGAAAGTCGTTCACTAATGATTTCACAATAAGAAAACGTCGAATTGATGATACCTAGACTTTATTTATTCATCATACAGTTTCATTAAAATAATTACTCCAAAACATTTGGTAAATTAAAACCAGTTTCTAATCCATATCTAATTTAATTTAATTTGTAATTATCTGTGGCAAACAAAAGAAACACTTGTAAAATGACCTGGTTAATAATTGGGAGTGAAACCTTGTCAAGGGTCGTGTTTCATAGCTGAACATTGTGTTAGTGATCCCGAAACTCCTGACTGGAAATACACCACTAGACTGACTGTTTTCTAAATCTTCTACCAACGACATCGGAAGTAGTCTAATTTTTAGTTTTATGTTAGAACAACACATATAAGCAAACAAGATTGTTTTCACGTGGACTGTCATCTGACTTTTGTTTAATATAAATGAATATATATATATATGAAATTTTAAACCAATCACGTCAATCTTTAAGTCAGTGATCATGAAATATATGGTACTTTAATTGGTCCCTAAAATTTTTTTTACTTGCAATTTCTCAAGGGATTTACGGGAGTAATAATTTTAATTTTCCTTAAATTATATTTGTTTTCAGTACTCTTCCTTTCTGCTCCATGATTCACCTGATCAGAGGATATTTGGGGATCAGAAAAATTTATATTACAATTCAGAAACAATAAGTTTTGATAAACGTTTAGAAGCTATGGAAACGAAATTGCGTAATCTCTTTATTGAAACAAATACGTCAGTGTCATCGGATGTTTTGAATAAATATGCAGTAAAAATCGTTACAGAAACTTACCATCCAATTACAACATTCAACCAACACTGTACAGAGTCTTGTCAACGTTCAAAACAAACCTCTTCAAGATGGACTGATTGTTTACACTTAGATTTAAATGACTTAAGATCTTGTAGTCATTGTTTAAATCATTCAGCTCGTAGTAATTGTACAGTTCAAACGGCAGATATTCTCAACAAATGTAAAAGTTTTACGTCATATTTTAAAGTTTCATACTATTTTAATGATGACTTTAAGATTAATTCATTGATAAATATTTCCAATCATAATATACTGTACACAATTATCCTCTTATGTTTCATCTCATATAAAATAAGGAATTTACATAGATTGCTTTTTAATTTTATTAATTAACATAATTTAAATGAATAGTGTTTTAACTACAATAGATGATTTAAAGTCATTTAGTTTATTTATGAATGATGTAGGTATAAAACCTGATATTTACCTTAGACCAACAGTTGAATAATGTAGCATACAATTAGATTGAAACAATTTTTCTGGTTAGCGTTTTTTTAACGAGTTATTTTTCTACGGTATGGGGGGCTACCCCCTTGCCCAACCCTCCTCCTTTATCTGGGCTTGGGATCAGCAGTAACCTCCAGAGTGGCAACAGGTGGAGTTAGATTTAAACTCTTAATTATTACATAATAATAAAATATGATATCCATTAATGAATAAAACATTTCATCATTATTTCTTATGTTTATATCACTTTATATTGAGTTAACAATTTTTATTTAGTGAGTTGATATCTCCCAACAGACCTGGTTGAACTCCATCCGTTACTGCTTCTCACTAGAACTCCAGGAAATACTTCGTGGAGCCAGTCTGTTAGGAGATATCAACTCTCTGAAGACAATTGGTGAATGGTTGCTCGATTTCGTGGATTAGTTGAATTTAGACATTAACACCTTTGGATGCCGGCTCATTGGTCTAGCGGTTAAGTGCTCGCGCGCGAGACTGATAGGTCTTGGGTTCAAATCTCGCGAGGCGGGATCATAGATGCGCACCTCTGAAGAGTCCCACAATAGAACGAAACGTATCTCGGCTCAGTGGCCCAGAAGTTTAGCGTCTATGAGACCGAGTCCGGCGTGCAGGTTCGTGAGTAGGCACTGTTGAGGAGTCGCACACTAAGACTAAACTATCGTCCAGTGCTTCCAGGTTTTCAGTAGTGAACTGACATTGATCGGTTCATGATTTCAAACAAATATTAACGCCAAAAGAAAATTAATTCTAAACATTTCTACTAAAGACTAATAAGTTTGATGTAAAACATCATTCCAATAAATTAATTCAAAAGTTGTACCCTTGTATTTATTTATGAAATTTGAGGTTCGGTTCCCATGAAAAAATATCAAGGAAACAAACATTCATACTACTGATAATAGTACTACTAGTAAAAATCTATATCATATAACTTTTATGATAAAAGAATAGATTTTGCTAGATTTCACGGTGCTTACACAGTGTGCATGTGCATATGGCTAAAAAATGTGTACAAAACTGATGAATGAATAGTATAATGTAAAGAATATATTTTAGTCCAAATAATTATTTTTCACTTGGATTTATTAAGCATACTGGCAAATAAATTTTGAAATCAAAGTTTAAGGAAGCAAATGTCGAAGAACATCAGAGTGAACATAACTATTTTCTTAAGCAACGATTAAGGTTTATATTATGACTAGTGTCATACTTGACTTTTTATTAGTTACTACAATGTACTAATTGAGTAGTATTATTTAGTTTAAAAATGTATACTATAGTTGAAAGTTGGGAAAAATTGATACGACACCATGGTAATAATGTTTTATGCCTGTTTACACTTATTACCATATACATTTACATGATATGCCCCCAAATGCCCTGGTACGGCCGAGAGTGAGGAGAGTCCGCTCTCCCCCTCCAAATGCTCTCACATAGCCACGCGTATATAACCTCTTCCAGGGAAGTCCTACTCACTGCATTCTCGTGGCGAGGATATTGTTTACGAAATTGAGAAGACGAAAAGCGAATGTCCGGCGCTTTAACCGGGTTGGTTGACACGGTAATTCCACCCAGGGGAGTTGGAAAACCCTGATTCCAAACCAATGGTGTTCATGGTCTCCAGGATCCAGAAGGAACAAATGGCGTATGAATTAATCGTTGGTCACCGACTACCATGGGACTGCATCTCTTCACGATGCTCCACTTCCTTGTGGATCAGACCTTTCGGTCAAAGGCTCGAGGTGTGGCCCTCTAAGGAAACCACCTTCTTCAGTTTGGGCACCTGGGCAGTATCACATCCCTCGCACAAATCAAATGAGATTTATGTGGCGCATATGTATTCGGTGCCCTTTTGTAACAATACTTATGTGCTCAAATAATAAATAATAATTTACATGATATATATTTTTATTGGTATGAGAATTTGATACTAGAAATATCTTCAATAAATTTAATATCTAATTATTTTTTAATTCATATAGGTCAATATATTGACAAATCAGTTCAAACCTTATGTTATGAATCAACAAATATTGCTACCCATCCAAAATATTCTAATGAAAAGGCAATATTTACAAATGAAAATCAAGTTATTTCGAAATCATATAAATTAGAAGCATCGGAAACAAATAATCAACTAACATCTTTTGTGTAATGATATCAATTCAAATTTAATTGATTCTTATTCCTTTTTCTCAGTTTCCTTAATAATCATTCTCATATTAACCAAGCAATAATCCATCGAAATGGTATTTCAAACGAACCTGAAGATGATGAATCTGTCTCTAAAGTAATACTTTATAACTTATATTAATTAAGTTAATATGAATCTTTAATATTAGTTTACATCTAGTGAATGTTTAGATATTGTTGTATCACCTGATTCTGAGACGAATGGACTGAAACAAACGGATTGTTTCAAAGTTAAATCAAATAAAGGTCAACAAATTGGTTTCAATCAACTGAGACAAACACATAGTGTAAGTAGTAAGTTTTTGATGTATAATGTAATGTTTGTAATAATTTGAAATAGGCAATATATATATATATATATATCACGAAAACTGGGGACCTCCCTACAACCTTATCCATCAATGAAAAGACTTTTTTGCATACTTCTTAATACACTCGTCCGAGATTCCAACGCCTTTTTTAAATTCACTTTCACTCGTCAAATGTAATCAGTTATCTATATGACCAAAATATTGTTAAGTAATAATGATACATTTACATGATGTGGTGGAATCGGTTATGATGATTTTTGCAATTGATTGATCACTGAGCAGTGGTCAATGTCATGTATGGCAATTTCTTTTCAGTGATGTTTACGTTGCAATGTGGTCACCAGTTTAAGTGACTCACCATCGTGTGAACTATGTTAAGATGTAAAGTGGCGGTCAGAGTTAGTCGACAGTATATTTGCATTTCTTTACAAATTTGAACACATCTATTAAAAGCATACATAGTAGTCTGTGTAGAATGTTATGTAAAACAACTTATTGGAATATGTTAGTAGCGTTTTGGATATAATCGGATGACTTTAATAAAATTCATGGTCTATAACTTGGTCATACAGAATTGGTAAAACTTTTCACCTCTGTGTGGATGTCCCATTTAAATTTGTTTGAGCAATGTGTTTACCTTCTGGTCTTTTGGAAGACTTCGTCAATTCATCTCTTATTTTATGGGGTCTCTAAACTTTTCGTCTACTGTTCTATGTATTCTACTGATTTTATTAGTGGTTCCAGCCGGAACCAATGTGATGTGAAAGGGCTATATTGATATGGACAACCTACGAAAACAAAAATGTACTTGAAAATTTTGATTGGTCAGTGCTCGGAGATTTGTTTAATTTCCTTTGATATCCACCTAAAAACTACAGAAGACTGGGGATTACTTTCGTCGTTCCCAAGGCTAAATTGTGCCATGATCACCCTGAGACAGAAATCTTATGCGAATCATCTAACCCAAGGTCACAGTTAAACACTGCTTACTAGTCTAAAACTATAACGAAACAGCTTCTTATTACTCTATGTTTCCCAATTTTCCAGTCCGTGGTACAAATTTCTTCCAATATTTGGTTAGTCACTGTATTATTCAGCATCTTGTTCCGCTGACATAGTATAGTATAACATAGTAATGACAAGAGATATTTACCAATAAATATTTCATTGTAAAAATGATTTAGTGTGATATAATCTATTTATGTTAAAGATTGAATTACATGTCTGTTCACATTCATACGAATGGATGTTACTGACCTATAGTATTAGATAACTTAGTGACGAAGCTTTTATTATCATGTTCAGTCACATTCACAAGACGGAGATTGAAACAAGAAGTGGATTTATACGTAGCTCCCTCGTTAGCATAGCACACCCTAATGATTATGAACTAAACTACCTATTCATACAGTGGTCACAATTGATTAGCCATCTATAAACAAGATAGATTATTTTATCAGAAGACGACGAAGTTGGATATTTTTATTCTCCCATAGAATTAACTGATGGGTTTACTCAGCATTTTATTCAATAAATGATCTAAATATCAAGCTTTACGACACTCGTCTGATTATTTACTTTTTCAGTCTGAGTTTTCAAGATCTCTTTAGATAAGTCTCGTGCTTCTTTCATGGAAAAAAGTAGTGAATTACAATGTACTGTATAATTTATGAATAGATATTGTAAACGAAATAGAAACCATCACATTTCAGTAAAGTAGCAATTATAAGTAGCTAGGAGTATCGTAAATCGACGCGTCATTCGCGTTGCTGGAATACTCTAAATTAGTAAACTATTGACATGCATTTTGTTTTAGTTCGAATCTGGATTGAACAATGAAGAAGGTTATGTTGATATTGATGAAATTCCTGCCACTTCGAGATCATATAAACGAAACAAAAATTTTGAATCTAACTTTCATTATGGAACTATGGGACCGACAATTCACAATTCTCGAAAACCATCTACATTAGAATCGTCTTTCGAAACAATATATGACCAGACAAAATTGTGCTATAAACTTTAATACGTAAGAGTACGGTTTATTTTGATATATTACGATCATCGGCGACTAGATTAGGAAAAACTTGATGAAATGATGGTATTCTTTTTATTAATAAAAATACCTAATCTCTTGATTAAACTATTTAATTCAGTGGATTTTCACAATTTAACGGTGTTAAAGACAATCTCAGCACTTCTTATTTAATCATCGAAATGATCGACAAAGAAAAGACAGATACTGCTTCAATTGTAGTTGTCCCATTTGGCTTTGCTTCGCTAATCAATTAACTCGATAACCGTTATGATATAAATCTCAACGGTGTTTGAAATCAGAAGACAAAGAGAAGCGGTAGCTACAGTTTATTAGCGGATAGCACAGACCACAAAGCTATGAGCACATCAAACGAATTTGGCGCAAAAAGGCGAATAAGTATATGCGAGCCATTACATAGGCGAATTTGTAGTCAAATTGTATAAGGGTGAAGCAAGGCAAAGCAAAAGCTAATAATAGGATTTGAGTACATGCATGTATGGAGAGGAGGATGAATCATCGAGCGATATTTAGGCGACCAACACTTTAGCTAGAGTCTGTCATGTGCTCTAGTGATATCATGACGGTACAAAGAAGTATGCGAATTGTTACCATTCGAAAAACATCATCTGTTAAGTAAGTTAGTAAAAGCGCTTAGCCAAAATTTACCATAATCGAAATTGATTGTAGGATAATTGCTATAACCATTCTGTTCGACAAAGTCATCAAAGTACCTAACGATCAAAGCACTGATGACTTAGTGTTTACAAGTGTGAAAGTAGCAGCTGAGGATTTACATAGTGTACTAGTAACAGCGAGCGATTCGAAAGTGAAAGGGATAACACGTAATTACTCACTAGCATGGAAAACAAGTTACCCTAAGCTTGCTACGTTAGTGTTAAACATAGAATTGCACAAAAAATATTGTTATATACTAGGAAAAAGTAAGTACTGATAACTTACGGGACCTCTTATTAGACTATTAATCTATTTATATCCCTATGATATAACTATTCGGTAACTGGATTATCTATGTCTATATTCATCATATTACTAGCTTCATTTTGACTTATTGATTATTATTATATGATTTATTGTTCCTAAATTATACTCGGTTTATTGAGTACTGTCTCCCACGCTTCCAGCCACGTTTTGCTTGATTTTGTACAAATATTATTTTCTATTTTATGGTGTGGTCTGCCTGTTTGGTATATAGACAAAGTATGTTTGAAATAAACGATTCGCATTACAGCAGCTGCTATTGGTGTTTTTGGACTCAAGTGGACGGGTTAGGCGGATAAGGACCAATAAACTGAATTTCAGTACCATGTAGAATATTCTACTTAACTAAACATTTATACTGTAGTCAAGAAGTAATAGTCAAATATTTTTATTGTTTTCTTTTCATTCTAGGTTTGTTGGGAATTTTTAATTTTCATAGCCAATCAAGTATCCATGATTATTTGAACAGAAATTATCTCGGGAAAATAAAATGGAATTTACTCTTGAACAATTACTTTTTTTTAATATTTGACTCCAAATAGACTATTTCTTGTAAGAACATGATAAACTCAGCATTATGCTGATCACTACAGGAATTTTCAATATTTAGTGACGTACTATTGACATAACTTCGCCTGTAGCTCTTCTAGAGTTACTGCCGGTCTCAAGCCCATACAAAGGAAGAGGGTTGGGCATGGGGTCGGCAATTCCATCCCGTAGAAAAAAAGTCTTTCTAAAAATACTCCAACCAGATTAAAGAAATTAAACCATTTAAACTGCCCTGGGAGTTGAAGGAGGAATTATGACGCCTGAGGATTAAAGCCGAGGTTCTTCGGAAGCCACGAGAACGATGTCTCTTCTAACAACCGGAACAACAATTTTTATAGGTACATGGAACGTCCGGACAATGTGGGAGACCGGGAAGACCAGTCAAATAGCGACGATAGTGAGGAGATACAAATTGGCAGTACTCGGAACCAGTGAAACCCATTGCACTCAAACTGGACAGCGAAGGCTAGATACGGGAGATATGCTGCTGTACTCCGGTCAAGAAGAGGAAAATGCTGCACACATTCAAGCAGTTGCTCTGACGTTGTCCAAAGGAGCACGTAGTGCACTAATAGGATGGGAATCTCACGGATCCAGGATCATCAAAATACCTTTAAAAACAAAGGAGGGGATCATGATGAATGTTATCCAGTGTTATGGACCCACCAATGATAGCAACGACGAAAACAAAGATCATTTCTATGAGAGACCGCAATTGATCACAGCGAAGTACTCAAGAAAGGACCTCACCATTCTGATGGGAGGCCTAAACGCCAAAATCGGAATGGACAACACCGGGTATGAAGATATCATGGGACGACATGGACTGGGAGAGAGAATCGAGAATGGTGAGAGATCTGCAAACCTATGTGCATTCAACAAATTAGTTATAGGTGGCACCATAATCTCACACAAACGCATACACAAAGTTATATGGATCTCACCGCATCACACCACGGATAACCCGATAGATCACATTTATATAAATAAAAAATTCCGAAAGACAATGGAAGGTGTGAGAGCCAGGAGAGGAGCTTACATAGCTTTAGATCACCACCTAGTGGCGGCACACACAGACGTTCCTATAGGTGTCACTTCACCAACAGTCAGGGAAATCAGGACGGCCATCGGACAAATCAAGAATGGGAAAGCAGCAGGACCTGACAGTATACGAGCTGAAACACTGAAGTCAGACATTGAAATAACTGCAAACATGCTTCACGTTCTATTCAGGGAGATTTGGTAAGAGGAACAAGTGCCAACGGACTGGAAAGAAGGATATCTCATCAAGATACCAAAGAAGGGAGATCTGAGCAAATGTGAGAACTACAGAGGCATCAGTTTGTTATCAGTACCAGGAAAAGTTTTCAACAGAGTGTTGCGGAACCGGATGAAAGACACAGTAGACGCTCGACTTCGAGATCAACAGGCTGGATTCCGTAAGGATCGATCGTGCACAGACCAAATTGTGACACTAAGGATCATCGTCGAACAATCAATTGACTGGAATTCATCACTATACATCAACTTCATTGACTATGAGAAGGCGTTTGACAGTGTGGACAGATAATTATGGAAACTTCTCCGACACTATGGAGTTCCTGAGAAGATTGTCAATATTATTAAGATCTCATATGATGGACTACAGTACAAAGTGGTGCATGGAGGACAGCTGACAAATGCATTTCAAGTAAGAACCGGAGTCACACAAGGCTGTCTACTCTTCCTCATTCTCTTTCTTCTGGTGGTCGACTGGATTATGAAGACATCGATATCTCGAAGAAAGTACAGAATACAATGGACAGCTTGCGTGCACCTAGACGAATTGGACTTTGCAGATGATCTGGCCTTTCTATCCCATACACACCAACAAATGAAGGTCAAGACAAACGGTGTAGCAGCAGCCTGTGCATCAGTAGGTCTCAACATACACAAAGGTTAAAGCAAGGTCCTAAAATACAACACGGATAACGCCAAAGCCAATCACACTTGATGGAGAAGCTCTGTAATCTTTCACTTACCTCGGAAGCATCATCGATGTAGAGGAAGGATCTGTTGCGCACGTAAAAGCGAGGACTGGCGATGCAAGGGCTGCACTCATACAATTGAAGAACATATGGAACACAAAACAACAGTCAATCAAAGTCACAATCTTCAATACGAACATCAAAATAGTACTACTGTACGGAGCTGAAACGTGAAGAACTACCACAACTATCATCAAAAAGGTACAAGTATTTATAAACAGTTGTCTGCGCAAGATACTGAATATCCGTTGACCGGATACCATCAGCAACAGCCTACTGTAGGAGAGGACAAACCAGCTTCCATCTGAAGAGGAACTTTCGAAAAGACGTTGAAAGTGGATAGGACACACATTAAAGAAATCATCAGAGTGCATCACGAAGTTAGCACTAACTTAGGATCCTGAAGAGGGACGGAAAACAGGGAGATCAAAGGATACATTGCGTCGATAATTGGAGGTAAACATAAGAAGGACGAATAGCAACTGGAAATTAGTGCCCGAGACATTGTTTGATGGAGAATGCCGGCGAACGACCTATGCTACTCCATGAAAGATAACAGGCGTAAGTTAGTAAGTAAGTGATAAGACTCAGGAATTGGAAGCAGACATGAAAAGGATTGGATAGAGAGTGCTGGTGGGCGGCCTATGCTCCCCCACAAGGAGTAACAGGCGTAAGTAAGTAGGTAGACTATTGACATATTAAACGTAAATATACAAAAAGATCCGCCGTTACGATCTTCAGGTGTTATAAATAAAAATAACATCCAATTGTGAAACCTTGAAAGTTAGTTTGAATCAAAACGTGCGCAAAATATTTATTTAACAAATACACAAGTTATGACTAACGAAGAAAACAAGTCCTTAATTATAAGTTAAATAAAATAGCGAGTATACATATGTTGTAATTGTGATATTTCAAAAGGGAATTAAAGAATATATAAATAAGTATGCGTCGACAGCCTAGTTATTTTGTGTTAGCGGGACATAGATTGCATTGGTGCATGCTGATTAGATAATTCTTATTCAATCAGCGCTAGTGGGTGCTTGGAGAAGACTCTAGAATCTTCTCATGTAAAAACTATAAATATACTGACGTATTTCTTATTGTGCTTCTTGCTTCATCTACCCCTTGTTATTCGGAATATAATTTCTTTCCTGTTCAACCGTGTTCTGATTTGGGGACTTGTCGAGTGAATCGGTGTCCAAGAATACTTAGCAATAGGAATAGCTGGGTCGTACTAAGAAAAATTGTAACATTCTGATAAAGTAACAAATTCAGAACAACATATTGCACAATGTTTAATTATGTACAGTCTCATTAAATTTTAAATACCACTATTTTATTGATATTAATACAGTATAAAATTGAAAACAATTGACTTCAGAAACAGATTTCTTCAGATCTTTTGAAAAATCTTATTAAATGTGACACTTGATTTAATCAATGATATTTATTCGAAAAAATAACTTTAACTCCGTTTCACTTTACTTCATCTTTTAGTATTGGTGGGGAGTGGAAAGAAAAAAAGCAACCATTAATGTTGATTAATTAAAATCACTAAGTCAGTCAATCCGTCACAACGTAGAACTTCGTACGTACGTACATCAGTTCGAGTTGCCATACCACATCAGCACAAAGATGCAGTTGTCGATTCAAATCCCATAGTGGTAGAAGTAGTAAGAGTTTAAGCAGTAATATGAAAGATTAGGGTTTGAAGATGTTATTGAAGGAGTATAATCCAGTACAATAAGTTTGAAAAGAGAAGAAAGAAAGGGACATGAAGAACTCAGAAGATTAGAATTTGGTAGAACACAAAAAGTGGATGCACCTTAGCAATTGCAAACGATTTTGAGCCATGTCATTCAAGGTCTCTAACCATCGACTGCTATCACCTCGCGCATCCCAACCAGGTAGTTTACACCTACCAGCATGGCTAAATCCAATTGTCAGTGACTTCATGGATTTGTGCCACGTTTTGGTCTGGCCGCCCCTAGCTTTCTTCCAACCTACTCCTATACCATGGAACATTGCACTTCCGGGTAGTCGGTGGTTGGGCATGTGTAACAGAAGTCCCAGCCATCTCAAAAGATGAAGTTTCACTACTTCATCAATCGATTTGCCATCCTTACCTAGTACCCGATTCCTAACAACTGCATTACTTACTCGGTGGTCCCAGGATATACAAACAATGCTTCGAAGACACCTATGATCGAACACTAGTAGTCTACGAATATCCTCTACTCTTATTGGCCATGTTTCACTGCCATAAAGTAGGACGGAACGAACTGTTGCACAGTAAACCCGTCCTTTGGTTGCTAGACGGATATCTCGCCTACGCCATAAATGACGCAAGTTGGCGAAAGCTAGACGAGCCTTCTGTAACTGTGCTGAGATTTCGTCACACATCAGGCCACAAGGGCTGATGAGACTCACAAGATAAGTGAAGCGGTCAACACGCTCAACTACTTCACTCCCTATCATTAGTTCAGGTGTCGATGCAACTCAATCCTGAAGTAACATTTTGCACTTCGAAGGGGAGAATCTCATCCCGACCACGCTTGCATATTTGCTTATAGTTTTCAGAAGACTGCATTTTGTCGGCATCTTCACCAAATAGAACTATGTTATCGGCGTATTCTAAGTCAACAAAATCACTAAGACAAACTAGCAAAGAACAAAAATTTAGTGTAAATGAGGAAGCATTTCCAAGTTAATTTCGTTTGGTGTTGTTTGCTTGAATCTTATCACTGATGTTTGGGATTGGAACTGATCAGTTTCTTATATGCATCCTGTGTGGATTGCCTTAAGTCACAAGCATTATGAGTAAAGATGAATGGCTGCTAGCATTCCAATAGGAGAAGCGCACACCCAGCTGACGAATCTCAAGTGGGACGAAACGCGTGTCCTGGATTCAACTGATAGCCACCATCCATATTTCTAGTTTGAATTTTTTAAAAATACACTTATCTGCCCAGCTACAGTAGACTATACGTTATATCAAATAGTATGAAACCATTGATTCGTGGTACACGATTTTCAGTGAATACCAACTCGTTTATATACTTGTGTTTGAAAACTGACGCATCTTACACTCTACTAAAAATACTAAACCAACAAACAAACAATCCATTAATAGCTAAAAGATATGTGGATTCATTGAAGACCATGATGATTAATGCAAACATGGATTATTGTTTGGTGTATCAAATTAATGAGTTTGGTCATTTCAACGAATACAAAGGATCGTTTTCATAAAAAAATTTATTTACATTACATAAGCATCTCATATACAACAATCCCGTAAAAAAATAGTTACAGACCACCGGCAAAAAGACTGCCCATAAATTCGGGATTCGAAACAGCCGAGAAGCCAAGACATCCTTCAGGTGGTGTACGACTAGAATGAGCAAGTTTTTCTTTGATCTCATCTTCTGTAAGCTTTTGGCGTCGATTCAATCGGACTGGTTTTCTTTCAGTAAATCTAAAACGATGGAAAATTTAATTAAGATTTTCTACTGGATATAAAATACTAAAATAGGATTGAATAAGACAGGTAAAGAACTTAAGGATCACGTGAATATTACTAGGTTTCCGTGTCTTTTAATGCACATCACGATGAGATGTTATTGTTAGTAATCGTTTATAAAATTATTTTGAAAGCTTACTGGCGAACAGCGCTAATTTGTAATTCTCTATGCTGTAAGAACAGTTCAGGGGAGAATGTGTGGTTACAGTCCCGATATTATAGCTGTATAAATATGCTTAAACACCAAGTGAATGAAAAACACTTTTGCTGAACATTTGCAGACAATTTAAGAAGTAAATGTTAAGTTGATGATCAGTATATACAAGTGCAGTACATGAAGCTCAACGTTACACCATTTGTGGGACTTCATTTGTTTAGTTCCGTTTACCAACAGTTTAATGAGGGATTTCAAAAGGTTCACGGATGCTGATAGTTAAATAAGTGATTATGGGGTATGAAAAATTAGGTTATATTCCTAATGAGAAACGAATATCAAACGTCGACTGAACTCGTTGCAAATACTACCAATAAATTTATTTATTTAAACACACAAACATTGGTACAAGGAGGCACCAAACAGATATGTGCCACATAAATCATTCGGTTTGTATGAGGGCTGGGATACTGCCCAGGAGCCCAAACCGAAGCAGGTGGTTATCTTAGGAGGCCACACCCCCAATATATTCATGAGAACATGGAAAAATTGGTAAAATACTCTGAAGAGTTCAATCCCGATCTTCACTTTCGTTTATAAGTAAACATAACCGGGAAGTCAGGTGTTCGACCCTGAGAAATATTGTCTACATTTAATGGTATAATTGAAACAAAACACTTCTTGGACAAGTTTTATGTGAGGCATTGGAGCAGCTTCCACCAATGGCGTTGTTTGGTAACATAGGGACCGAGTGGGTTGTTAAGACATACTTTATGAAATGAAGTCACGATGTGCAGGATAATTGTATTATGTTATTCATCAAGAATCCATGGGAGCACTCTAAACGATTGACAATTTATTTGCTTCAGACGTAAAATACAGTTAAGAATCAGAATCCATGGAAAATCTATCGTAACTTCCCTTTTATTTAAGCAATTGAACTAAACGGAAACAAAAAGCTCCGTATTAAACGTTTAGTGATTTACTTTTGATGTGTTACTATATTAATTACTTCTTGGCAACAATAATATGTATCATTTTCCCTTTGGTATCTTTACCCTTAATGACATAAATCATATTTGAGCGCCATAATTAAAATTCTTTGTAACTAGATGAAGTAGGACTTATCACACATAACTTCAGAAATTTGTTAACGAACTATGAAAAGAACGGCAAAAAATAAGTATACGTTTAGGAAATACCTTTTCCCTTTAACTTGTTTCATCCTTTTTTCTAGTTTCTTTGCATCTAGAGCTGCAGAAAATTGGCGAGATTGATGCTTCGCGACCACTATATCACGATCATGAGCTGTACGCCTTTGTTCTTCTTCTTCACGTTCAGCGCCAAAAAGGTCGTTCCATGAAGTATCTTTCAAAAATCTAATGTTCCACAGTTCACCAAACCACGGATTACGCTAAAAGAGAATGAGTAACAAGGCTAGTTAGCTTCTGGCTTATTACATCTTATATACACTAACACCACAGGGGGCAATAAACATGGTTGTACATAAAGCGAGGTCTTTAGGAAGCAAAGAATAACAAACTTATGATTGACTGTGCAAGAATCATGTCTTCTAAGGAAAGTAAAAATGCTTTGGAGTAATTGTTTGAATATTATCGATTTCCTACACAGGTCATTTATTTCATTTGTATCATAGATAGATTAGCACAATAATAACCCCAAAATGTTTTAATAAAAGAGGTGAGCTTTTCTTTTTTTTGGAAAACAATCGCTGCAAAAGAAGTTACATATATTGTGGTCACTATGTAGAAGTCAAACGAAAGTTTCCGTCGTTTTATTATATATATATATGATTAGATTATTCGGGATACTCCAATTTTGGATAGAAGTTCGAGTGGCTCCAACAATCTCAACAAAACAACCCACATATGAATCCCCCTTGTCAAAGACTACCAAAATGATGAACATCCTTATGTTGCTTTATCGTCTTGCAGACAAGACACTTTCGAATTCAAACTTCCAAACGGTTGTTTTCAGACAGGTATTTCTTAATAAATAAACTTACTTAGTCATATACTGAGTAAATCAATAAGATTCCACACATTTTACTGCACATTTAACAACAGGTAGTTCAACCTAGGAATCGAGTAGATTAAGCTATTAATTTGTGTTGTATCTTGGATACTCTCAAGTTCTGATATTCTTTGAATTGATTTCCCTTCTGTCAATTATCTGAACGTCTACAGACTTCCACTTTTTTCGTCACTAGTCAACTCCAACCTAAAAAGTCAATCGCATGCCATTAGAGTAAACGGTTCAATGAAAACAATAGAATGATGCGTTTTATTTGTTTATCTTTATGCTCTGATGGATCCTAGCATGAGTGCAACCAAATAAGTTCTATAACAAAGTGATTTCAGAAATACGTGTTCGACAGATAGTGTGATACTAACTAGAGACTTGGATATCAAGGGTTCAGATACTGAGGTAAGTTTGTTGAGTACTAGATAATGGGAATAATCCCTAATATTTTACAAAACACTAATATGAAATAGCACAACTAGTAACAGCGTGCAGGGGAAAAGAAGTTTTTGGGTTACATGTCACAATAAGTGCCAAACATATTTCGTCACAGTTAACAAATTCTTTATTCTAAGCACGTTAGATGAACTTAAACCAAATAGCGACGGAAGTTGAATTTAAGAAATTCGCCAATTTACCAGCGTGAATAAGGACTGACTGCACTTAAATAATGTCTTATGGTTCCTTGAAACTTTCCGCTTAAGGACACAGAGGTTTTTTAGAGCTACATATAACTTTAAACAATCGTTGGTTTACTTCAGCAGACTGCAAGTATGAGAAATTCTTTTCGCAAAAATGTATAAGTCGATAATAAATTGAGAATTACAGTAGAACTTCAATGAAGTTTTTGGTCACAGTTTTAAATTACTACAAAATCTAAAGAGTGGGACATACTGTTTATTATGTGCATCCAAATTTAAAAAACTTGGATTCAAAATATAATTTTGGAATGATGAAACAGGTGCATATAGTTAGTGATGAAAAAATAATAATGATAATAATAGCGGATGCGAAGTGTTGACTAACCTTTGATCCGAGAACCTCTGTACAATTAAGCCGTTTAGCAACACGCTTAGCTATTTTCTTGTTCAGAAACTCAACCCAGCCTTCTTCATATTGACGGTATTTTCCTACCTTTTTCTTTTTTGGTACCAAATAAACTCTGCCAATTTTGCCAAACTGTTGCATAATGTCCGAGATCATGCTAACGTTCATCCCATTCGGTATAGTTGAAAGATATACAATACCCGGAACATCAGAATCAACTTTGTCGTCCTCTATTCTGGCATCAAAAACCATCGAGTTAAATGCCGAGGTGAACTGAGACGATAACCGGGCTTATAAAATTCGAACGGTATTAGAAACAATAAACTATAGAACTGAAATGACATAACCATGACATCAAATAGCACAAGCTAACAAGAAAATACTGTGTCTGTCAACATTTATTTACACATAATCATTTGAAATTTGTGGAAAAAAGTTTACGTGAAAATAAATACGAACAGCGACACTATACATTTCTTTACACAAAGAAATGAAAATTCATCATGTTAATGCTGGGCTTAGATTTGCCGACTGCATCTTAAAGGTTAAATCTGTAGGAATCCAACATATGGAAAACGGATTAACTGACGAGCAGATCTAGAAGGGTGGATAAAGTAGTATAATAGTATATTGAAGTCTTGGTTAATTACATGATTTAAATAGGCTGAACGAACACGGTACATACATTCATATGCAACGTGAACGATATTTGATTGAAACGAAAAACATTGCGACAAGAAATAAAATAAGATACATCTTAATTAACCCACATATACCATTGAAAGTTTCTGACAACAGAAAAAACTAAAGTCTTAGAGTAAACGAAAGGAAGAATAAAAAGCATAACAGTTGTGACACATATTTTGCAGGGAAATAGTTAAGGTAGAGTAGTAAATTTTTGTTTGCGGAGATGACCAACATTATGTATCAACAAAGAAAAGAACCGATGAAAACAATCATTAAGCACCAGTAAGAAGGTTACACTTGCATTTATCGATGCACCAACCACAAAATGATGGTGCGACAAGTAAACCCATGAAATAAATGTCTATAACAACGCTAAATTGTATTGTTCATCGCAATTGTTATCATCTCTGTTATTATTCAGTGGGTTAACTTATACATTGAGAACAACATAAAACAGTTAGATATTCTTATCATCTAATTGTGTCCTGCCACGTTACCTTCAGCATAAAACTGTTTGATTTAAAACAAACTAATACAAATGCTTCTTGTAGCCTGAATGAACAAAGTTCTGAACTATGAGTGATATAGGATTTTTCAGTTCCAAAGAACTGGTCAATATATACAACCAAGACCGATGAAAACAGGGAGGGCCGAATTTAACCATAGTATAATGAATTGAAAATCTACTGCATATTATGATCAATTTCCATAGGGAGATCGCATAGATCAATTGAGATCAATTGAAAAACCTTGATTCCAATAGTAGGATATGAGGATACTAAAACGGAACATCATCTAGCCAACAACTTATCGGGTCTTCCATAGCATAGGAGAAGCAGACTTGCTGGAAGCAAAGGGAGGATAAAACGGATCAAAATCGCTATTCTCTTTTATCTAGAAAGCCGATTCAAGAAGCGGTGAACTCTCTACATAAATCTATCGTGGAAATTTATTTGCGCTTGCAATATGTGAAGGGCAAAACGCGAAGCAAAATATGGAATGCAAGTTCAGTTACACCCACCTAAATTATCAATTGCTCAACTTTATAATAACTCATACTAACATCACTAGGAGTTCCAAGATAAACGGCTAAACTTTCCTCATGTAGAAATATTAAGCTGGAGAGAAACTGTCAAGCTTCAGGCTAGAAAGAAAATACATTTATGATACTCAATTATCATATTACACAAATCATAGGAATTTACAAGCTTGTCGAAACCGACGCTATTAGGACTATCACACCCATCATACAGCAATGAACTTATCATTAACTGATAAGAAATTTACAGCCTCATGAACTGAGAACCCTTAGTGTTAAGCGCATCCTCACATCCATTAAGACTCGGCTTACAATACATTTTGTGCTTTTCACGTAATGTGGGACTATTGTAATAGTCACAAATGTCTCATGTCAGATTCAGGAAGGAAAAGTCAACGGTTCATCTACACTGATTCAAATGGTTCAAATGGTTGAGGACGGAATAGAAGAAGCTTTCGCTTAACGGGCTTCCGTGTCTGGTAGCAGTGGATCACCAATACCTTCAGGCAAGAACCTAGGTATATGAACGATAATAGAGGGAAAAAAAGAATTTGGTAAATCATAATAATATGTTATCCTTAGTCCTTACGAATAAGTCAAGTTTTCTCTTAAAGGACTCCTGAGAGGTCACTTGGACTAGCTCAGTCGGCAGCGAATTCCAGCACTTGACAACTCTAACGGAGTAGAAGTTGTGTCTGCAGTCTATTCTGCTATGTAGGGTCTCCAATTTCTGGGTGTTACCTCTCAGGTTAGTGTTATGACTAAGCTTAAGAAGTTGTTTAAGGGGATGACCAGAAGTATTAAGGATACTATAAGTCATAAGAAGATCACCTCTAAGACGCCTATACTCTAACGGGTAAAGGTTAAGTGATTTGAGGCGCTCTTCATAAGGTTTGAATTTGAGACCCCGAACTGATTTCGTGGCTCGACGTTGTATACGTTCCAGAGTGACCTTATCCTTTTGGAGGGAGGGAGGAAATACTATGTTTCCGTACTCTAAGTGGGGACGAATAAAACTGTTGAAGATTATATGGAAGGTACTACCGTCAAACTGGCCAAAAATGCGCTTCAATGTTACCAGTGCAAGGTTTGCTTGAGAGGCGTTTTTGTCACAGTTCGCATACGATTTCAGGCCATTGGGTAGCAACACTCCTAAATCTTTTTCAACTTGGGAAACTTCTAGAGGTGAGTTACCTAAGTTATAACTATAGTCTGCAACATGTCTCAGATGGACTACCTTGCACTTTGAAGTGTTGAAGGTAAGTCCGTTGTCATCTGCCCAACTTTGAAGTCGAGTCAGATCCTCCTGAAGAAATAGTATATCATTATGATTACGTATCTCTCTCCAAAGTTTCACATCATCAGCAAAAAGCAATAAGTGATGAAGAAACTGTCATATATGTTACAAAGGCGCCGAACAAAGACATTCACTAGAGATCATTGCAAACGAATTAGGGGGTTGGGAAGAGACGGGAATGGAATTAAAGGCTGTGACTTTAATGCATACCGTTCTTGAGCGATACAATGACCTTGACAAGCAGACTAGCTGCTTGTATTTTGCGCTGATATTCCCTCAATGTCTTCAGTCCTCAGTAAAATGGATAGGAGGTTTATTGACCTAATTTATTCATCGCGGTTCGTTACATTGTTCAGGTGAATATATCAGCAGAAGGTGCTGATATCACGTGTTCCGGTAGAGAATTTCATTAATTAATAACTCGTTTCGATAGACGAAACTCCAGACGTACACGGTTTCATCTCAGTTTTTGAACTCCCTTCGAATGTCTTCTCAATTGATCAGTCCGAAATGGAAGGAAAAGGTAAGACATATTAATGCCAAGGTGGTCGTTCAGGGTACGATATGCCAATATTATATCACTCTGTGTTCTCCGGTAAGATGATGGAAATAAGTTGAGGTGTATCAGTGTATCTACACGAAATAAACCAGATAGACCTTTTAACATCTTAGTCTCTTGTCGTTGGACTCGTTCCAGCATATCCGACTCATATTTGAAACAAGGACTCGCTGCTTGAATCACATATTCCAAATGTGGTCGCACAAAAGTCAGGTATAATAATCTAAACATTTCCTCATCTAAATACTGGAAAGATCTACTAGTAAACCATGATACCTTATAGCCTTTTACATCAGCAGTCTTACAGTAACTGATAGTTTTGAGATTACTGCTTACTACTACGCCTAAATATTTATAGTTTCCTACTTTTGGTAACACGAATCCACATATTGTGTATTAATACGAATCATCATAGTTATTTAATTGCATCACCACAATCTCGTTAGGATTCACTTCTAGTGCCCAGCCGTCCATTCATGACATCAATAAGTTGAAATCATTTTGTGGTACTATTCTAACTGGCATGCTGTATATGGGTCTTCAAACCTTTATGTCATCGACGAACAGTAGATAGGGTGACTTAGCTACGTTGGTAATTCACTCATATATAGTAAAAAGAGAATAGGATCGAGAATTGTGCTTCCGGAAAGTTCACTTTTTACAGGTTCTCACGATGAGAGAGCACCATTTACTCTTACCCTTTGTCTCTTGCCATGAAGAAAGTCACCTATCCAGTCTTTGACTGCATAATGAATTCCAAAACTTTCCAGTTTCAATTTAAGACTAGAATGGGAAACCTTATCAAAGGTTCTGCTTAGATCTATGAAAATCACATCTACAGTAATATTGCGATCTTTTGCCTCAGCCCAATCTTCTCTTGCAATGAGGAGATTTGTAAAAGCATGATGGGTATTTCCTAAAACCATGTTGTTCTGTGGATAAAAGATCACGTCCTTCCACAAAGTTTATAACAGACATTCCAATAATTTTTTCCACCAGTTTTACAACTGCACTTACTAGGCTGACGGTTCGATAGATCGATAGGACCGTTATTCTAGTTTAACAACTAGCGACCAGTAGTACCTTCTATATTAGAAACCTTCTTACGCCCGATGGAAATCAGAAGTCAGATAAGAAGAGGTAGGAAAGTTATATTTGATACGTTACCAATATATCGAGAGGCGTTTGTTCTTAGCTATCTAGTGAAACGTAGGAGCTGTGTCCCACGCCGAGTCGAAACGTGATCTGGTGCGGATGCATGACCGAAAGCCTTCAGTTAAACAAGTCCACTTAAACAACGTGGTCAGCATCCAATGTCGAACACTTAGAAAGCTATTGATTCTGGGGAATTATTTACAGCTACAGACGAAACGTGCCACAGAACAAGCATTTACAAAGCTTGTGATTATCTTCGTGAACTATTTCACAAATCTATGGATTGTTAACTGAATAACCTTTATTACGTATTAGACTGCGACGACGTAGTAAAGTAGTGAAATTTCTTATGTCCTGGGGAATCATTTCGTTGAATTTTTCTCTTTCAACACATTCAAAATGTGCATACTTTACATGGTCAAGCAGTATTTGCTTGAGAGTTGCATAAAGGAGTGTAATCGGTCTGTCTGGAAATGCCAAAGTCTCTATAAAGTTGTATTCTTCTTTTCCGATGAAAATAAGGCAATGAGCCACAATATTAAAATTCTTCACATCTTTCTCGGTCATAGCCCAGATTTCGAACCTTCCCCTGTAATCCTCATAAGCATCTAAATCTGAATGTATGTCCAATAGTTTCATCACAGGTTCCCTCGCGACGTCAATGTGATAATTAGGAGTATTTGAATTATGGTATAACCTAAGAATCCCAGAAATAACGAAATTTATTCAAGAAGTATTAGATAGACAAAAATGAATGTATTGTATTAGGAGTTAGAAATCCAATAGTTAACAAGTACAAAGGAATCATTGGTTCTGTTATCATTAGATGTAGTATCTGTGTAGTATTTGTCCATTGCAGTGTAATTTCTGCAACGGTCTCTAAACTGAGACCAATAAAATTACCTGTATTTTTCACCTCCGGATGGGTGCTGTGAGCTTGCTCAACTACGTCCACGGGTCGGCCTCGTATTTCATTGCCTCGAGAATCATTGGTTCATATGAACACCACAGTTAGGTCAGTCGATCCACGATATATTGATAACTTATCAAATATATCTTCAAACTTCCCCGCTTCCGTCTTTCGATTTCACTTGGTGGGTACGCTGTAAAACTCAAAATACTTGTGGCATCTTAAATATCAACCATAACGCCTATATTCACTCGACTCCAAAAAATGGAATACGAGCTAATATTAAATAATACGCTTGTTATTTAGAGTTTCAAAAATGCTATATTTTGATGTCATACAGCTTTTCTTGTGATTTCTTGATTTGTTATGCTTTGTCAAATTTAATACTAAAACTGAAGGTCGTCTCTCTATGTACAACCGAAATTTGCTACCCATCGTTCGACGAAAGCGCGAGCCACGGTTTCAGCAGTAATGTCCTTAATCGGTACTGTTTCTGGCCATCGAGTAAAACGGTCTACGCATGTTGGGAGATATGAGTATCCGTTTGAGTCGGGTAAGGGTCCTACCAAATCTAGATGGACGTGGTCGAAACGAGCGTCAGGGATTTTGAAAGAGCATTTGCTGTGCCTTATGACCTTAGATTTCTGACAGCTTACACAGAAGCGTGCCCACTCCCTCACGTCTTTATTCATGCCAGGCCAACAAAATCGTTCGGCTATAAGTTTGACAGTTGTACGAGCACCTGGATGAGAAAGGTTGTGCAACGTATTAAAGACGTTGCGTCGATAATGTTTTGGTACTATTGGACGATCCCTACCTGTAAATGTGTCACAGAGTAAGGTTTCCTTACCTGTTCCCATCTGCTTAATACTTAGTTTTAGAGTTGTCGAGGATAAATCATGCTGAAGATCAATGTCTTCTTCTTGAAGCTCAGCGAGTTTAAGAAGGTCGATTCCTTGGAAACTGTTCAAGGAACTTATTCGAGACAAGGCGTCTGCGACTACATTGCTAGCTCCAAAAATGTGTTGTATGTCTGAAGTTAACTGCAAAATGTATTCGAGTTGTCGAGACTCTCGCGGCGAGTACTTGTCTGAAGATGAACTTAAAGAGAAGGTAAGAGGTTTGTGATCGCTAAAAAGTGTAAATTCTCTTCCTTCGATGGAATGTTGGGAATGCCGTACAGCACAATGCATAGTTAGGAGTTCCCTAACGAACGTGCTGTACCTAGATTCCGCGTCTAGCAACCGTCTCGAGAAAAATCCTAAAGGTTGCCACGAGTTGTTAACCCATTGTTGTAAGACTGCTCCGATTGCTGAGTCGGATGCGTCTACTGCTATACTAATGGGCGCTTGAGTGTCCTGATGCGCCAGCAGGGTTGCCTGAGCGATATGTTCCTAAACAGTGGAGAATGCTTTACGGGCTGTCGTCTAAACTAATTGATTTCGCATTTCCACGAAGCTGGTCGGTTAACAGTTTCATAAGAGATGCGCATTTAGGTATGAACTTATAAAGCCGTTGAAAGTTTGCAAATGCTTGATCGTGGTTGGTTCTGGGTAACGATCGGCTCTGCTTTTGCCGCCTGTAAACTGAAAACAGACTCGCGAAGTCTGTCGTCGGGATTTGCTGGAAGAACGCTAACTTCTGCGCCGGTGTCGACGAGGTAGCGAACTTTCGTAGTCACATCCGTGACGTATAACAGACGGCTGTGTTCGCCGGCTACGGTTGCCGTTAACGCGTGCCGACTGGGAAGTTTCCTGAATTCTTATTCGTGTCAGTCGCCTTAGACTTCGGATAATTGCAGGGCTTCCTGAAGTTTCTAGAGGATTTACCGTACTGGTTGTGATACCAGGACCAATCGGGGTTGTCTGTCTCTCGACCACAAGTGACAGATCGCTTACGTGAAACGCTCCTACGTGGGGATTTTGACCGACTACGGTCATTACGAAATCGAAGATAGAGTGCCAGTGTATGACATACTTCGGTAATGTCATTCGGGGTCCTTTGAGGTTTTTCTTTGACTGAAAAGACCTCGGCCTTAGTAGATTTTGTGATTTCTAAGATTCGGTCGGCAGATGCAGCCAGCTCGTCTACGGCGTTGTTTTGAAATGAGGCGAGAACTGCTTGCACCTGTTGAGGAAGTTTAGACAAGAAAAGTTGTCTGAATAGGCCATCATCGAAAGTTCGTTGGCCGATAACCTCTCTCATTCTTAGCAACATGTCTGTCGCAGAACCATGTTGCAGGACGATGTTATGGAGGAGTTGGTCTAACCGTTGTCGGTCGGTTGGGTCTCCACGTTTTATGATCGATCGTTTTAACGTTTCATAAGGTTCAGGAACATCACTAGTACCTGTTAAATTCGCGCAGTAAAGCCTTAATTACCGTGAGGAATCGTGATTCCGTGCTTGCAAAAATAATAATAATGATAATTTATTCTCATATAGCAAATAACAAATTAACAACTAATCAGCTTCTGTGTAGCAGAACCAGGACTCAATATTGTCAGGCCAAAATGGCGTTAACTGAATCGAAGTCAGGGGAATAGATTTTAACTTAAAAAAACTTAGGTGACTGTTCCGTCATAGTAATATAGAGAACGTAAAATATTTAATTAGAATATATCCGGAAAAACTCGCGAAGAAAAAGTATATCACAATATATAAAAATCAAATAAAGATTAACAATGAATAATAATATTCCAAAAAGGAACGGACTCACAGTTTACTGGCTTGGTGTACCAGATCACGTAAGGCTCACCACTGAGGATACGACCGGTATTCTAGTTTGACAACTAGCGACCAGTAGTACCTTCTATATTAGAAACCTTCTTACGCCCGATGGAAATCAGAAGTCAGATAAGAAGAGGTAGGAAAGTTATATTTGATACGTTACCAATATATCGAGAGGCGTTTGTTCTTAGCTATCTAGT